TCAACAGTCATCCAGAACTGCTGAAGGGCCTTCCTATCCATGACAGGTTCTTGGTTGAGAGCATAGGCGATTAGGGACATGCATAGGAAGGCAGTAGCATCCTCATAGATGGTTTTGTTGGTGGGAATGTCCTACAAGGCAATGTGGTTATTGGCCTTGAAGGAGATATATTCCACAGTAAAGTTCACGTTCTTGGCAGCCATTTTCTGTTTTTGGTTAAGAAATAAGAAGGAGAAAAACAGTTTATATTAGTAGTCCAAGATTTATTGTGATCTTTTTAAGTTTTAGAACAATAAAACTTCTTTTAAAAAATTCACAAATGAGATACTAGGGTTTTTCAAGTAGATTAGTGTTTTGGAACAAGATTATAACCAAGAATAAGAATGTGTTATTAATCTTTCTGTTTGTGTTTTAAGAGAACAGGGTTCTTAAAATCTCAAACATTTGTTTCATTAGAAGGTGTAGAACAGTTCAAAATGTAAATAAAATTTTCAACCTTAGAGTTCTTTGACAGAAGGTTGAAGGATTTGAGTGTTCTTAAGAGTTCATGCTTACAAAGTCTTCTTGGCAGATGTTCATCAAAGATTTTTGTAAGCGTAAAGAAAATATGAGGGAAGAGGTCCAATATTTATAGGAAGGATGAGAGAGAAAAGAAATAGGAGAGAGGAAAATACGACGGTTGAGGAAATGCCATGATGAGAAATATGGCACGTTCTCATCCATGATTGGATGAAAGATAAAGCAGGTTGCGTGTCAGACCTTTTTGCGCGTCTCAAAGCTATTCGTATTGGTAACAGAGAATGTCTTCATTAAAATAGTTCATTAACTATTTCTTTTCAAACGAAAAGGTTTTAAGAAATTTGAAGAGTCGCATTCAGTGATAAGACAATCACTGAATAAAAACCATTTAAAACATTTTGGTCACTGAAGAAGAGAAGCTTCAGTGATGGTTTTGTTTAAATAACTGAAAATAACTTAGAAGAATATATTTTCATAAAGACTTCAGTGTCAGTGGCAAGAGAATCACTGAAACTGACATTTAAAAATATTTAAATCACTGATGGTAGAAAGGTTTAGTGATCATTTTGATTTTAAGAAAAGACAAGTATAAAAGAAATATACTTATTTCAAAATGTTCAACGATAGAAAGAATCACTGAAACAAACTTTTAAAACATTTTGATCATTGAAGAAAAAAAGCTTTAGTGATAGTTTTAAGTTTTAAGAAAAAGAACAAGTATACATACCTTAAAGAGAATAGATATATTTACTCAAGAGTTCAGTGATAGAGATATAGCACTAAATCATTTCACTTAATGCTTGATGTGTATAGTTGAAGAAAATTATTCTTCAGCGTTTAGCATCCCTAGTTCACTGATCAAGATGTTAAATCTTGTCTCATCAAGAGCTTGGTGAAAAGGTCAGCGAGTTGATAATCAGTTGGAACAAAGTGAAGTTCAATGTCACCATTCATAACATGATCTCTGATAAAATGATACCTGATCTCTATATGTTTGGTCTTGGAGTGAAGTACAAGGTTGTTTGCGATTGCAATAGCACTGGTGCTATCACAATAGATAGGAATCTTCGAGAACTGAAGATCGTAGTCGTTCAACTAGTTTTTCATCCAAAGGACTTTGGCACAACTTCCAGTGGCTACATATTCAGCTTCAGAGGTTGATGTGGACACTGAGTTTTGCTTCTTACTTGTCCAGCTCACCAACTTTCCACCTAGAAGTTGACAGCCTCCGGTGGTGCTTTTCCTATCAATCTTGAAACCTGAAAAATCAATATCCGAATAACCTATTAGGTCAAAACCTGAACCCTTAGGGTACCAGAGAGCCAAGTTAGGAGTTCCTTTCAGGTATCTGAAGATTCGTTTTGCAGCTATCAGATGGAATTCCTTAGATTCAGATTGATATCGTGCACATAAGCAAATAGAATACATGATATTTGGTCGACTAGCTGTGAGATACAGCAGGGAGCCGATCATTCCTCTATAAACAGTTACTTTTACAGGCGTGCCATTTGGATCCTTCTTGAGAGAGAGTGGAGGAGCCATCGGAGTCTTCATAGATGAGCTATTTGATAAATCAAACTTCTTCAGCATGTCACGGACATACTTACTTTGACTGATAAAGATACCTTTATCTGATTGCTTGATCTGGAGACCTAAAAAGAAGGTTAGTTCTCCCATCATACTCATCTGGTTTTCTTTCTTCATGCGATCAGCAAATCGAAAACATAAAGATGGATTAGTGGAGCAAAAAATAATATCATCGACATAAATTTGGACAAGAATGATATGACCTTTAACTTTCCTAAGAAATAAGGTCTGGTCAATCTTTCCACGGACAAATTTCTCAGAGATGAGAAATGAGGAGAGGGTATCATACCAGGCATGAGGAGCCTGTTTTAACCCATAAAGAGCTTTATCTAAACGATAGACGTGGTTTGGATACTTAGGGTCAAGAAAACCTGGAGGTTGTTCAACATAAACTTTCTCTTGAAGTTTCCATTAAGGAAAGCGCTCTTTGCATCCATTTGGTAAACTTTGAAGTCTTTATGGGCAGCAAAGGCTAGAAAGAGTCGAATTGCTTCAAGTCTAAACACTGGTGCAAAGGTTTCATCATAGTCGATCCCTTATTCTTATCTATAACCCTAAGCAACAAGTCGAGCCTTGTTACAGGTTATCACACCTTCTTCATTTAACTAGTTGCAATAGACCCATTTGGTGTGCATCATTGTCTTGTCAGATGGATGTGGGATAAGGTACCAGACTTTGTTCCTATCAAACTCAATGAGCTCCTCTTGCATTGCAATGATCCAACTAGGTTCTGAGATAGCATTACTGGTCTTCTTGGGTTCAACTAAAGAGATAAAGTTGACAAAGAGACAGCTATTACCTAGACCACGACGAGTCTGAATACCTGCACCTAGATCACCAAGATTTTGATGAATTGGATGGTCTTTAGTCCATCACTAAGCTGGTAGAGGATTATCATCTGAATATAGAAGTTTAGGAATAGTGGATGAGACTTCAACTGTAGTGTCTTTAGTGATTGGAACAATTGCAAAAGGAGTCTCAGATTCAGCGACTGAAATTGGTTCAGATGCTAAAGGCATTTCATTCAAAGATTGATCAGTGTTTGAAGTAGAAGAAGGAACACAACTAATGGGCACAATAGCGATCTCTAAACAAGATACGTTGGTGTGACTAGCTGTGATAAGCTTATATTTAAACATGTTTTTATAATTAATCTAAGTACATATTGTAATGTTTATATAGCTTATAGAACCCCTTTAATTTAGTTATTGATTGGTCTTTGATAGGTGCAAAAAAGGATGGATTTTAATACAAACAGAGCATATATTTTGAAATTGTTACAAGGTCGGGCATAGTTTTCTGAAGGAATATGAGGCTGAGCATACTTATGAAATGGGTTCTGGACTGGGCATACGAATTTAAATGACGTGAAAATGAAGCATATTTTCTCAAATGTTGCATAAAAAAGAGATGTCACGAGTTTGAGGAAAATGAGAGGCCCCGCAGTAACAAAAAAAAACCCAACAACAAAAACCCCATCAACAGCAGCCCAGAGGTACGATCAATTGGGAAGACGTGCGATCAATCGGAGAAGTCGAGAGGAGAAGTGGAAGAGAGGGGGATCGAGCGAGAGATCGGGAGACGTGGGTTGTTTTTCTGGTTCATGAGGGAAAACACCACATTTTATTTATTTTCGATTGAAGAGGAGAGCAATAGTAGGTGCGATCGATTGGAGAAGACGGGAGCGAAGACAACAACAGTTCGTGGTTTTGGATTGGAGAAGCATTGAAGGAGATTCATCAATTTCAAAATTAGGTTATTATCTCTTGTCAATTTCTTAGTTTGTGTTTTCAATTAGCCATGTGTGGCTAATTTCTTTATAAATTCGACCTTGGATTGCTTAGTTTTTGCAAGTTCTATTTTTACTAGTTGTTTGAGATGATGTACTACCATCTCACTTTAATTATTCACCCAATTTCTGAACATAATAGCTTATAAAATTGAATTTCATGCTTTCTGATCAATTGTGTGGAAATCGATTATGGTTATTTTGGTTTCCTAAATCCGTAATTGTTTAGTAAACTAATATTGATGACAAATAACAAATAGGTTTTGTAGAAAATTCCTATCTTTTTGTTATGACATTGGGTGAAACGGAAGATTTAGATTAACTAAGCTCGTGTGTTAATTTATCCGACCCGGGTTCCATTGATTCTTCATGCTAGTATCGATTTGGCTCTTAAGAGCTTATTTGAGGTCAATTGCATATTAAGGTATGAGAGGAGAGCTTGTTCATCTCAAAAGTTATGTATGTTGGAATTAATTGTTAGAGCTCTTTGACAATTAGTACCGGGTTAATCGAAGTATGTGCGGTCACCTTATACATCATCAATGATAACAACTCGTGAATAGAGTTGCATTTGTAATCCAAAGTCGAGTTTATTTTTTATTCCAATTGTCTATAATAAATTTTATTCGCATGTTTAGTCTAATTAATCAAATCCAACCCCCCCCCCCGGTGATTATTAGTTTTTTTATGTTTTCATCGTGTACTTGATTCGCTAGTCGTATAACGTCAGACCAAGTCTCTGTGGATTCGACCCGACTTACACTACTACAATTTTGGTTGTAACTAGTCATTAGTCGGAATTTATTATTTGGTGGACTCGGCATCCGTCAAATTTTTGGCACCGTTGCCGGGGACTCGGTGTTTCTAACGGTTTATGCCTAGATCTTCACGTACAGGTACGCCTATTCCCATAGACAAATAAATCGAACGGACAGCTAAGCGATTCTGGAAGCTAGCTAGGCTCCGGAAGGCGCAAGGCGAATATTCAATTTCACCGATAATCAACATCTGGAAGGATATTGAATTACCATCCGAGTCTGAAAGCGAAGTAGAGGAATTAAAGACGGAATCTGAGGAAGAAGAGGAGAAAAATCTGAAGGTCAACATGGCCGATGAGCAGACTTTACGTCAATTGGCAACCCAAGACATTGCTCAAACTCCAATTTGTATCAAGTATCCGATAGGTAATCAAAACTTTGTTCTTAAGACTGGCTTCGTCCATCTCTTACCCACATATCACGAGTTAGAGAACAAGGACCCTAATAAGCATTTAAAGCAATTCCATATTGTTTGCTTGAGCATGAAACCTGCCGAGGTTACGGAGGACCTTATAAAAGTAAAGGCTTTTCCTTTTTCTTTAAAGGAGCGGGCTACTGATTGGTTATACTCGTTACCTCCTGATTCGGTAACGACGTGGAACCAAATGGCGAGGCTATTTCTAGCCAAATTCTTTTCCGCCTCCCGTGTCACTAACCTCCGTAGAGAGATTTGTAGCATTAAGATACGAGATGTTGAAACTCTCCATGAATATTGGGAGAGATTCAAACATCTCTGTGTGAGTTGTCCACAACATGGAATCTCGAAACAATTGCTCTTGCAATACTTTTATGAAGGTCTCCTACCTATGGATAGGAAGATGATTGATGCCGCCAGTGGTGGTGCCATGTTCAATAAGACCCCAACCGAGGTTAGAGCTCTAATCACCACCACGGCCAAGAATTCTCAACAATTTAGTGTGAGGAGAGAGCCCGCAAAGGCCAATGAGATAAACGTCGCGAGCATTGAGAGTCATTTGTTTGATCTCACTAACTTGGTCAAACAGCTTGTAGTTGATAAAGAGCAGGTGAAAGCTTACGGCATATGCTTAGCGACGGGCCATCCAATCGATGCGTGCCCACAACTTCAAGAGCATGTGTTGGTGACGGCCGAAAACGTGAACGCTATAGGAGGTTATCAAGGTCAGCCACAACCACAACAACGATTCTTCAACAACTATTTTGGCAACCAAAGACCTCCTCAATTTCAGAATTTCGTGCAAAGGCCGCCACAACAACAATTTCAGCAAAGAGCACCCTTCAATCCGAATCAAGCTACTTCTAGTAGCCCAGGTATGTCCCTTGAAGACATTGTCAAAAGTTTAGCTGCTAATACTCTTCAAATCCAACAGAAAACAGAGGCAAGCATTCAAAATTTGGGAGCTCAAATGACACAGCTTGCCACTTCCGTGAGCCGGTTGCAATCTCAAGGAAAGTTTCCTTCCCAAACGGAGACGAACCCGAAACAGAATGTAAGTGCAATTTTCTTGAGGAATGGGAAGGAACTTGAAGAACCAAAGATGGCAAAGAGTAGGGAAATGGAGAAAGAGCAAGAAGTAAGCCCGAAACTGATTCAACATAAGAAACAATCGGGATCTACTGACGATGTAAGTGAGAAGGCAAAGGTAATTCCACCTCCCTTTCCTACGCGTTTTCAAATGTCTAACAAAGCTAGAGAGGAAAAGGAAATCCTAGAAACTTTTAGGAAGGTCGAAGTAAATATCCCTCTTTTTGAAAGAATTGTGCACCAACAAAAGAAAACTTAGGGGTAACGAGACGATTAAAATGAGTCAGAATGTATCTGTCGTGCTTCAAAAGAAGCTAACCCCAAAGTGCAAAGATCCAGGTGTTTTCACCATTCCTTGTAAATTGGGGAATGTTACGATCAATAGGGCTATGCTTGATTTGGGTGCATCTATCAATGTGATGCCATTTTCTATCTTTAAGACTCTAAATGCAGGCCCCTTACAAGAAACCTGGGTGGTCATTCAATTGGCCGATAGGTCCCTTGTACACCCGAAAGGGGTATTAGAGGATTTATTGGTTCAAGTGAATGAACTTGTTTTCCCCGCTGATTTCTATGTCATTGATATGGAGGAGGATTCACATCCAAAATCCACATCCATCTTGTTAGGGAGGCCATTTTTGAAAACTTCAAAAACAAAGATAGATGTTCATAATGGCACACTTTCCATAGAATTTGATGGTAACATCATCCATTTTAATATCTATGAAGCCATGTGTTTTCCAAGTGATGTATCCTCTTTATGTACCATTGACATTATTGAACCTATTTCTCAAGAGTTATTTGAACTAATACATTTTGATGTTTTAGACACCATCTTGAGTAGGTCTTTGAATGAAGCGAGAGTAACCAAACTCATGAAGAAGATTGAGCTCGGTCCCGAGTTTCACGAGCTAGTAGCTTCTATGGATCAAAAGAAGATGTCAAGGTATGATATAGCTCAAGTTTCTCTACCGCCATCTAACAAAAAGCTACTTCTTTCTGTTTTGCAGGCTCAAAACTAGAGTTGAAGAAACTTCCCGAGCATCTCAAGTATGTGTATCTAGGAGAATGAGAGAAGCTACTGGTCATCATTTCAAGTAGATTAGACTCATCCGAGGAAAAGAAGCTAGATTACGTGCTAAAATAATTCAAGGAGGCCATTGAGTGGACGATAGCCGACATAAAAGGCTTGAGCCCATCAACTTGCATGCACAAGATTTTGATGGAGGATGACTTCAAGCTGTTCCGTGAGGCTCAAAGGAGATTGAATCCATCCATGATGGAGGTTGTGAAGAAAGAGATTCAAAAGTTGCTAGATGCAGGTGTGATATTTGTTATATCCGATAGCAAATGGGTGAGCCCGATGCAGGTTGTTCCAAAGAAGGTCGGGGTGACAGTAGTGGAAAATGCCGAGGGAGTGATGGTTCCAACAGGAGTACAGAGTGGTTGGAGGGTGTGCATAGATTACCGATGGTTGAACGCCTCAACCCGCAAAGATCACTTCCCTCTACCTTTTATCGACCAGATGCTCGAGAGACTGGCAGGTAAGTCTCATTATTGTTGTTTAGATGGTTTCTCTGGTTTTCATCAAATTCCGGTTGCACCGGAAGACCAAGAGAAAACCACGTTTACATTTCCTTTCGACACTTTCACATATCGTCGAATGCCCTTTGGCCTATGCAATGCACCGACTACTTTTCAGCGGTGTATGATGAGTATTTTTTCTGAGTTTGTGGAAAACACCATTGAAGTTTTTATGGACGATTTCACCGTCTATGAGAACTCCTTTGATGAATGTTTAGAAAATCTCATTAAAATCCTTCAAAGATGCATAAAGACCAACTTGGTTTTAAATTATGAAAAATGTCACTTTATGGTAAACCAAGGGCTAATTTTAGGACATGTCATCTCGAGTAAAGTTATTGAAGTAGATAGAGCTAAAGTAGATGTTATCAAAAGCTTACCATACCCCACTTCGGTAAGGGAAGTCCGGTCATTTTTGGGTCATGCAGGTTTCTATAGGAGCTTCATTAAGGATTTCTCATGCATTACCCGATCGATGTGCAATCTACTTCAAAAGGATGTGGAGTTCAGGTTTGATGAGAAATGCAAAGAAGCTTTTGATAAGCTTAAAGTGATGCTCACATCCGCCCCCATTATGAGACCATCGAATTGGGATTTTCCCTTTGAGATTATGTGTGACGCGAGCAACTATGCTAACGGACGGTACTTGGGCAAAGGGTTGGAAAGAACCCTCATGTTGTTTATTATGCTTCAAGAACCCTCGATAGCGCGCAAGCAAACTACTCCACCACAGAGAAGGAATTTCTTGCGGTTGTCTTCGAATTAGAAAATTTTCATCAATATCTCTTAGGTATTAAAGTTATTGTTTTTACAGATCATGTGGTATTGCAGTATTTGATGACAAAGAAGAATGCCAAACCAAGGCTCATCCAATGGATTTTGTTGCTCCAAGAATTCAACCTGGAGATTAGAGACAAAAGTGGAACACATAATTTAGTAGCAGATCACTTGAGTCGGATTGTCTCCAATGAAGAGTCGTTACTATTAAATGACAAGTTCTCGGATGAGCACCTTTTTGAGGTGAAGACCACAGTTCCTTGGTATGCCGACATAGTCAATAATCTAGTTACCGGGACAACACCTAAGGAGCTACCGAGAGTGAAGTGAGAAAAGATAAGGAGTGACTCCAAACACTACATGTGGGACGATCCTTATTTATGGAAGCAAGGTTCCGATCAGATCATCTGGCGATGTGTAAGTGACGATAAGGTAATTTCCATTTTAGAATTTTGTCATTCTTATGCATGTGGAGACCATTTTGGCCTGACGAGGACAATGCGTAAAGTTCATCGAAAGTGGTCTATTTCCCATGTTCTTTTGGTTTCTATTACATCTTACTTGCTGTCGATTACATCTCTAAATGGGTAGAGGCAAAAGCGACAAGGACTGACAGTGCAAACGATGTTTCAGATTTTGTGAAAGATAAGATTTTCTGCAGATTTGGAGTCTCAAAAGTGGTGATAAGCGATAGGGGCACTCATTTTGTCAACAGTGTGATGGCGGCTTTATTCAAAAAGTATGGTGTAAAGCACCGTATATCAACCACCTACCACCCACAGACAAATGGGCAAGCGGAGGTGTCAAATCAGGAGATCAAGCAAATTCTAGAAAAAATGGTAAACCCAAGTAGGAAATATTGGAGCTTAAGGCTCAATGATGCATTATGGGCTTATCGGACCGCCTACAAATCCCCGATAGGTATGTCCCCTTTTCGTTTAGTGTACGGGAAAGCTTGTTATCTTCCTGTTGAGTTGGAACATAAGGCCTTTTGGGCCGTGAAAAATGTCAACTTTGTCATTGACAAAGCCGGTATTCACCGAAAACTCCAACTCCAAGAATTGGAAGAAATACGCAATGATGCGTACGAGAGTAGTTCTATATATAATGAAAAGACCAAAGTTTTTCATGATAAAATGTCTTCTCGTAAGACATTTGTTTTAAGTCAAAAAGTCTTACTTTTTCACGCTCGACTCAAGCTATTTCTCGAAAAACTTAGGTCCCGGTGGGTGGGACCGTTTATTGTTACTAATGTTTTTAATCATGGTGCGATAGAGATAAAAAGTGAGAAAACAGGAAAGGTGTTCAAGGTGAATGGCCATCGTTTAAAGCCATTTTATGAAGGTTTCAAACCTTTAGACATGGAGGTTTTCAAGGTAGAGGGGTTGGAAGAAGGAGCACCTTAGAAGTAGAGGTGTCAAGCCAACGACGTTAAAAAAGGGCGCTGATTGGGAGACAACCCAATTTTACTGCTTTATTTTCCTTTCTAGCTTAATTTTCATTCAGTTTAGTTGTCTTTGAATTGATGAATTTGCCTTCCAGGGTTTGATCATTGGAGTTTTTCCCCCAAATGCATGAAGGCATCCGCCAACAACACACACCATGTATTGGGCACACGTCTACATACTCATGGGAGTTTTCTTGTTCCCTTCGTTTTGATTATAGACTGTGCAATTGAATGCATATATTGAGTACAATATATGGTTTAAGTGTGGGGATGCGTTAGAGATTAGTGTGGGGATACAATGGGTAAAAATGGGGCTATTTTTTTGATTTTTTATTAATTCTTGGGCAAACACTTAGTATGAGTTCATGAGGTGAGACATCTTCCTGCATATAATGCCATGAAAACCGTAGCATGATTGATTGTGTGACTTGATTGTTTAGTTGAGATTAACACATTTGAGATGACTTATGTGAGCATTGCTAATTTTACGGACTAAAAATGTACCTGTGAGTTTTTTTTAGCCACGATCGAATAGTGTATTCGATCCTAATTCGTTTATGTGTGCATTGCATCTTCCGTGCTCATTTCACTCTAGAACTTGATCTAGGTCTCTTCAAGGTTGCACTTAGGCAATACTAGTGTGTGGAAATGATAGAAGGCCATCATTGATGTTTTCTTTTAACCATTTAGCCTAAAGCCAACCCTTATGTGTTTTCCTTTTTGGTCCCCTCTTTTGAGTCTAATTACCCATTTTCTTGACTTTTGGTTCTGTTGCACCTGTGAGTTTTTTTTTTTTAGCCACGATCGAACATTGTATTCGATCCTAATTCGTTTATGTGTGCATTGCATCTTCCGTGCTCATTTCACTCTAGAACTTGAGCTAGGTCTCTTCAAGATTGCACTTAGGCAATACTAGTGTGTGGAAATGATAGAAGGCCATCATTGATGTTTTCTTTTAACCATTTAGCCTAA